TGGCTCATATTTCCTTAAACGTCCAGATGCCGCGGCGACATTCATTAGACGAGGATATCATTGAGAACAGTTCGCACTCCTGCCTTCCTGCTTTTTCATGCTAACTGAGTTCTCGAAATCCTCCCAAGATTCTTTCTTTGTTGAGAATCTTCTCTTTTTATCCTTAACTAGCTGTAAACCATTTACACTTAGTTACGTTTACTGGCGTGTAATTAAAGTAATTGATTTAAACTTCAAAACACATATTTGTTTGGAAATGAACTGCCTTTTAAAGAGAATACAGGGTAGAAAACGATAAAAACGTCACCAAACTTGAGTAGGATTGACTATTTCCACAGTAGATTAAGTTGATTTTATTTTGAGGTTTAAAAAAGGTGTGATATCGGCGGGACACCATACGGAAAACACAGCCAGGGATCACGATGAAGACTTTGTAGTTTGCATAAATTGACGGACTTGGCTTTTTTTGACATCGAATTAAGTGTACTAGAATCCCCGAGCCAATCATATCCTTTCATATAGCATGCTATATTTTTAATGATGTCCTTGCTTGCGTACATCCTAATATGTTCCGCTTAACTACTATCAATAGTCAAAAAGATTTTACTTACCATTTGAGCATTTAACAAAATCCGCAAACTAAATCGCACCTTCTAATTAATTGTATGAGCATCAAACATCATACCCGTAAATATAATCGCAAAAAAATTTATTTCAATTTTAGTCCGATATTGGAATGTTTGTTTGAATTATGTCAATTGGAGCTTAAAATTGATTTTTTCATCCTGACATGTGGCCACGCATGACCGATTTTTTCAACCTCACAACTGAACGTGTAATTTATTTGCTTTTAACCTTCGCGGCAAAAGATGTTGGAAACTTCAATAATCGTGTTTCGAGGCTGTTTTGGTTTTGCCTTACTCCTAATAGTTCTAAATCCACCACAAACTCGTACGTATCTATTTCATATACCTCAAGTTCCATTTTAATTCCTGGGAAGTTCTCTGTGGTCGTTTATCAATATGTTTTCAAAATAATTAAGGTTGCCGTTAAAGCAAATGGTTTTAATAGTAGTTTAATCCTTTAGCATTCAGCATGGATGTATTGTTTCTTTACCTGATATCATTTCAGGGTCCGTTACGATTACAACCAAACCGCGCAATCCAACAGACGTTGTGGAAGGATTGAACAGTGGAAGAGTTCTACTTGTTTGGAAATTCACTCTTGATTCTAGCGAAAATTTGCAGAAAATTACCATCGGAAGAAGGAGACCCGATGGAAATCAAGTAACAACAATAGCTACGAGACCGGACGCTAATTCCTCTCTCAGTGTAGATGGTAAATTTAGAGTATTCTACAATGCAAAATCTCCGGCAACTCTAGTCTTAAAAAACGTGAGAAGAACAGATGATTACGTATACTGTCTTGAGATATTTTATTCTGATGGTATTGGCAACGGACGGACGAAAACAGACGTTCGTGTTCGCGTGTTTGGTGAGTATGAAACCACTTCCCTTATCCTTGTTACTCATGCGGTTGAAATGGCTGTTTTTAAGTCTTCAGAGATAAAATTAGGAACGTATTTCTGTATTTCTAGGTATTCGTACTACATCAATTGCAGGGTTTCGTTAGAGATAATAAAGTGCAGTTGTTACGTTTCTTGATCGAGGGTTAAACCGCAACAAGGGAAAACCGTAGTGTCACAGGAGAAATCAGTGAATATTAGCTGTGGATGTTATAGCAACATAATAAATATCTAACTCAGAGGGAATATATATAAGTGATGTTTCCTGATATTGGACATTAAATTTCTTTTGAATGACGTGGATGAGATGGAATGTAAATTTTCCCATTGCGTTGAACTATAAATATACTGCAAAGTAGAACACACGTCAGAGGTTTGCGTCAGTAGTGTGTGTTCTTTTTTTATTTTGAGAACTTTCTAAGTTCATGTACTAAAATTAACTCAATAATAATCTCTGCAATTCTAATTGTTTCCAAACTTTACAGAGCTATTTGCTGCTTTAATTTGGAGTTTGTGTGCCGAGTGCCTCGGCGTCTCTATGATTTTTATCAACTAAGAGCACCAAAAAAATTTTAGAGAGATTAGTAAGCATATCTTGTTTTGGATCTGTTTACAACATCAACTTTAAATAGAGTTAACACTTTTAGGGTAATGGAAATGACGTCTTCAGTTATGCCTGTTGCTCAATTCCAGTCCATCAGTTGGAACTTAATTGTTTGCTTGTTTGTTTGTTTTTTGGAATTTAGTCATGGTTTCCAATTTTAGTATGCTGAAAGAAAAGAAATTAGGATCGGTAGCCAGATTTTATTTCCTTCCCCCCAATGATGTTAAAAAATGATAAAACCTCAAAATAAAAGGCGATTCATAGCGACGTCCGCATGATGACGAATTTCATCTTCAGCCCAACGAAAGCTATTAGCGAAGAAGAAATATCATGATAATACTATAACGGAAGCAGTAAGGTTTCTTCGCATGTTTACTTGTATGCTACATCTGTCTTTTTCCAGATCTGCTTTATGTCTCGACACTAAGAAAAAAATTCGAGTGTGGTGAAATCGAACAAATAAAAGCGGGAGCAACTAAAACGACCACACCATAATTCCTGATGCCCATAATCAGCTGTAATGAATACCATCTCTGACAATTTGAGACGAAATCGGTTATTCCTTGAAAGCCGAATGAAGGTTGCTTCAATAAAGACACAAAAGGAAAAAAAAGGAAACGTCTAATCGCCACTTTCTTGCGATTTTTTGACTGCCCACTAAATTTTGTTTCTTTACTAATTTAATTATGCATCAACCTTTGTCTGCTAAGCGTACTCAAAAGCCCTTTTCTCTGCTAACTCTTGCTGAAGAATATTCTTCCCGTGTCTGGTACTCTTGTGTGCATTTACTGAGAGAGTAGCTATGTGTGTTCATTTTGCTTTTACTCCCTTCATTATCAGCCCCTCCAAGTATTACCAACGCGCCTATCGAGAGGGTACATGTAGAGGCTGGAAAAGATTTAACGCTAACATGTAATGCCTCCGGTGATCCCCAACCAAACATCACCTGGACCAAAGATGGCGTCCCAATGAGCTTCTCTAGTGACGCCTTTCATCAGTTTCGTCTTACTGACGTACAGAGCGAGGATTCAGGATCGTACAAATGTACAGCCAGTAACGGATACGGCAGTGATGCAACAACTGTTAGCAGAGTCGACGTAAAACGTGAGAACTGATGTAAAACCCAATTCATTGCTCTACCAATTAAGTTGGGATATGTTTCACATCGTTCCTTAGTGTGTTTTTAGCCTTTGCGTTGAGATGGGATTATCATTTTTCTTCTTCTTACAAAATGGTCTTAAAAAAAATCTCCTTTGTATCTTCCCCTCATTTCTTCGTTTCCCCCTTGAATCGGAGGTTCTCATTTCACATACAAAAAAGTGCCTCCTTAGTGGACATGACTGGGGCAGAATTTTTGAAGAATCCTGATATACGTTTTAATAAATCCAAAGCTCACCTTTCCGTCTCCTCTAAATTTATTTCGATGCGGACACGCCACACATTTTTTTCATAGACTAAACAGTTTTTGGTGTCCTATTTAGTACCGCCGAGAATAATCCTTCCTTCAGTTAGAGAGGCAGAGATCAAAATTGGAGATGATTTCGTCTTGGTATGCTACGCATCTGGTGACCCAACACCCAACATCATTTGGACTAGAGAGGGTTTCTCAGCGATTGAATCTATTGGTACCGGCAACTTTCTGCGACTTGTTAATGTGAGCAGAATCAGTGCAGGATTATACAGGTGTACAGCTGGTAATGGATATGGAAACAATGCTACCAGTCTCACCATAGTCAGCATTATATGTAAGTGTCTTATTTCGTTTGTGCTTAGGAGGCTAAAAGTCTTAGTGATGCTAGTTGATGCGACGGAACTTCTGTGTATTTTGCTTTACATTGTTCACGACATACGAACAAATCACATCATGGAATATCTCCTTTTATGATAAGGTTCGGATATGGCACACGCTTTCATTAGTTGAAAGAGCTTGTTATCAGACTACAAAACACGGAGCTGGGCGAAAGCTATCACGCCATCTGCCAATTTGTGGAGTGTCTGACCATCACTTTGACTTCTCTCCGGCTTCTTTTTCGTTAGCCGGCAAGTAGCAACAGTAGAACCTAAAAATGGTTTTTAAACATCCCAAGCGCCGTAATTGACGTTATTATAACATGAGGAGGGACGAAAATCATCAAAGAAGAAACGAAATAGACTGTCCAAGTTTTAAAGTTTTTACGCTCAGTGAGATTGTAAGCTTACGTAAAGTGTATATAGTTTCGTGTTCAAAAACAAACAGAACAAAACAAGAATAACGAAAAATATAAGCAAACTGGCGTAACTGTTAAAATTTACACAAATAATGATGGTTTCTGAGCTACTTCGGTCATGTTGTGTTCCATCGCGGCTAGTTCATCATGGCGATCTCCGGTGGCCACAAGTGTTACCACGTGCAGAAATTGTGGCAAGAGATCGTCTTATTTAATAGACACATTGCTTTTTTGCAATTTTTGTGACTTCCTGTCTCAGTAATCCGAAATGTATTATTAATACTTTCGATGAACTCCAAGAAATCTATGAAATTGCTATTGGGGAATTTATGCAATAATGTTTTGAAAAGAAATGGAAACGCTCATACTCTATCTCGACATAGATACAATATGTAAATTTTTGCAATTTTTGTGCGACAGGTGGTGAAAAATGTGAGCCTCGCAAAGTTGGACTAACGCTCACAAATGAAACGTGGACGCAGTCTTTATTAAACCGGGATTCTATTGAGTTCAAGACCTTAGAATATAACATTTTGTCAGCAGTGAGTACAAAGTAAACGATATAGAGGTTAGGCATAACGTCTTTTTAGCGATCCCGTAAACGTTATGATAAAACTCAGTAAAGAAAGGTTTGAACGTCATTTCATGGTCATAGCGTTCGATGCGAAGTCTTTCGTAAACCACGAGCTACCTAGCTCTCTTTCTCGGATCAGTAGCTGATTGCATGATTCACAGGAAAGGAGTGATTAAATTACGTCTGTGTCGATTCAGTCATTTCCCCTCTTGCTTTTGACACTTGCGGGATTCCAGCTGGGAAAGAGGGGCTGTTTCTAGTCTATAGTCTCACCTGAAGAAGCTTCTTTGGGGAAATCGGTGGATGACATCCCAATATGCTGCCAAGAAGGGGACTAATCGAGGCTAAGCTAGAGGTGGGGAAACAAAAGTTTTGGCGGCATTGAAATTTGGGTGTGAACTTATCTCGCTTTGATTTGGTTGGCTGTGAAGACACGATAGATAAACTTGTGCATGTTTATAAAGGTACTCTTGGGCAATTGATGGAATACAGTATTACCTCAGTCACTTTAATAGCTGCTCATTGCAAATAAATCTTCCTCTAATACATTTCTATATCATTCACTCTTCTAATCGACAAGGTTCTCATTGCTGTATCTGTCAACGCACAACTTGAATAATAATCCATTCCGTGTCTTTAGATCTGGAATGTTTACGCGCAACAGTCTGGAAAGGAGCTTTACAAGGTGATAGTTGTGGAATTTAGGTTGGTACATTCTCTTTTGTTCTTGGACCGGTTTTCCATAAAGGAACTTTAACGTTATATCGCTCTGTTAGGAATAGAAATCGTATTCTTATTTCCTTTTTAATTCGGTTTTAGGCCTGGTAGTGTCGTTGCCATTGTTAGGCTTATGTTTGGAAAAGGGGCGATTGATCCTTTGAAACCAATCCAAGATGAAATTTCGGATGGAAGATTGTCTTCTCTCAAAGTCAATGCTGTATTGGATGTGAATCCAAAGGATCCAGCTACAACAACAAGTACACAATAATACTCCCTTAAAACCTTTTTAGTTTTCTAGGGGAAGTCAGTTAGTAGAGTTTGTCAGGTGTGCTAGCTGTATCCAAGTACATTAACTGTGGTGTACTCGTATCCAAAAACAAGCAAAGAGTTGTCATTCTAGACGAGAACGTACGAAGCTTCTACACTTCCTTTTCTAGAAAGCTTTTTAAAATTTGACTTTCAAACAAGATATAAACGAACAGAGCTACAAGTTAAAAAGAAAGACCGAAACGAAACCAAGCAAACTGATATACCTTTTTGAAATAAGGAAGACGCAAAGCTGTTTTAAGATAAGTGACAATTTTTTTTCACCATGCATTATCGAGAACCTGTCCTTAGGAAACAAGACTTTCTACAATTACCATCAGAAAAGTTAAAGCTTATAGTTAATGGTTACTGTCTTTGTTCTGTAGAAAATCAGACGGAAACTTCGAAAGCAGGTGAGTGATATTTTGTGTCATTTTTTCGGTTTTTCAGTTTTAAAAGCCGATGCACTCAAGTAGGCTTTTCATGCCATGCTAACTGATTAAATGCGCATCAATGCCTATTCTCTTTGGTTAATATTACGTTGCGTTTTAGAGATTTCATCCCTTAGGCATATATAAACATTTTTCATTGATAAGAGAATACAGATATAGAATACAGATATTTTCTTAGGCTGTAACACCTTAGGTACAATTCCCCTGCAATATGTGTGGCATGAACAACCATAAACGTCGCTTTATTTAAAATAGATCGTTACTTTGTTAGGTTTCGATTGGCTCAAGGAGGGAACCATTCTTCATGTTGTGTATTCAAGTGTCATTTTTGTCCTTTTGGTGATTTTCTTTGTGGTCGTTATCTTGCTATGGAGGAGGCGTAATAATCCAGGTACTCCTTTATACGCTTTGGAGTGTGCTGTTGTGTGATTTGTTTGGTGAACTCCTTCAGTGTTTGGTTTCTTGTTCTGTGATTTTATTGGTTTTTGTTTACCTCAGTTAAATAAGTTAGCATGTGACAAACGTAATACATTACTGATGAAAAAAGCCTTTTGAGTTTATTTAAAAATTCAGGTCACAGAGGTATCCGAGACCTTAGGGCTGTCTTTTTTAAGTAGACTTGAGAGAAATAGTCTGCTACCCGTTTTGCTTCAGTAATGGATAAATTTAGGATACTGATTTTTTTGTTTCGTAGGTCCTTCGACTGAAAATGCGAGGTAGGTACAGACAGTATTATGTTTGTATCATGGTGTTTTGTAGTTTCTAGATGCAATCATATATTTGCAAACATCTCGCTGAGCATGCTCACTGACGGAGAGAGCTCATTAGATAATCTCAAACAACGCGGACGGTTGGATTAGAGTAAAAAAGTTAGAATTTTTGGGCAGAAATTTGAAATTGAATTGGTTTATTGTTTGTTGTGAGCAAGAAACCAGATTGTACCATAAAGTGTCAGGGGGCATGTGTAATATTTTCAGTATTTGAAAATTTACTTTGCTTATGTATTCCCAATCGGAATGAACTAAATAACGTGTAAAGCTTCACTCGAGGATTTGTTCATGTAGTGGAATATCGCTCACTCGACTTCTATCAGTTCGAACTTTCTGGATAACTCAAATTGAAAGTAATTTACATCGAGGTACATTTTTCACTCAGTTACTATCTATGGACTTGATCGCCCAGGTATCTCGCATAATGTTAGTTTTCATTACGGCTAAAATGAATTTTTTTAAGTTCGTTTTGGTTGTTTGGCCCCTCATTTTGATTAGTGCTGGGTATTGTTTTTACTTTTAAGAAAGTAACGACTCCGCGTCAAGTTCTACCACTATGCTGCCCATATTTATATACAACATGTTCATTCTGGATTTTTCAGTTGCCGTTATCATCGCAAAAATGCTACGGATAATCAGGTAAATATGGAGAATTTTCGATGGAAAGAGATGAAGTTCCAAGTGCCTTGCTGTTATCAGACTTCATGATCACTTGTCAGGTGTTTCGTTACAGTCACCGTTGCATTTGGTTTTCGTCATTTTTTTCACTTCGCTTTTAGGATCAAGGGAACCCAGTTCAAGCCAGTGAAGCATACGTGAATATCTCCGAACGTCTTATTTTGAGCGAAGAGGAAACGGTAGTTATTCAATCGTCGCCATCAAGTAACGCAGTACCAAGAAGAAGACATCAAATGGACTCTGAGTATATGTCCATTAAGGGAATAACAACAAAGTTCAAGAAATGGGAAGTAAAACGGGAAAATGTTCAAATCTCGAGAGTTATTGGAAAGGGTGCTTTCTGTCAGGTTGCTAAGGCAACTGTATCAGATATTAATGGAATAAAGGGAGCAACAACTGTGGCAGTTAAAATGCTGAAAGGTATGTTGCGGAGACAAGTAGTTGGTACCTATCATTTAAATCGTAATTACAGAACAGATTATCAATGAATCAACAATTTTTACAAGGAAAAAAGCGAACTTTGAAAAACATACATGGCAAAGCGGCTCTTTCCTGTTGGGATAGTTTGTTGCGTACTCTAAGAGTGGCATTCCTTATTCGTATGAGAACATTTCGTATGAGCACATTGTATTCTATGCAACTACAAGTCTCAAACGTGAAAATGAATCAGTAGAAGAGACGTCATCTGGCTTAACTTTTATACACCTCCTCACATGCTTATGTGTAATGGCAATGTTTTTCTTTATTTTTGATAGAAAATGCCCCGGATAATGACAAGAAAGATCTACTGTCAGAGCTGGATTTGATGAAGAAACTGAGGCCTCATCCTCATGTCATTAAACTGATGGGATGCGTCACTAAAACTGGTAAAATAGGAAAAAGATATTGATGACACTTTCGTTTGTTCCGTCAAATCTGAATTTTAGTTAAGTTTCATGTTGAAACAAAGGGTTATTTTGCAGATCCTTTGCTTGTTCTGATTGAATACATACCTTATGGTGATCTGTTGGGTTACCTAAGAAAGAGTCGCGGCCTCAATGACACATACTTTAAAGATCCGGATGTTAAACCTGAGACCAACCTAACCTCAGAGCAACTGATACAATTTGCCCTGCAGATTGCTGATGGAATGAACTTCCTTTCTGCTAACAAGGTATTCACGAAGCGTGTGTCAGTGTAGCAACTTGTTTTCCACTCTGAAAAAGTGTTAGGTCGTTCCAAAACTTTGCTCTGAAGGATGATTTGGAAGGTAAAAGTAACCCCTCGATGCTAATGAACCACAATTTCTCGGATTATGGCGAAATTACCTGGTTTGTCATGTTTATCAAGGCAAGGATTGTTGTGCACAATGATAACACATACGGGCACGTACTTGTTTCACTCCCCTCTTCCCCAGTGCAAAAAAGGGAAAAACAACATGTAAAGAAAATATTACTCCTTTCGTCGCAAGCGTAAGACTGAGAAAGAAATCCAAGTCCTCTATCGCACCTAATGTATGGAGTTAGATCGGAGCTATGTAATTCTCATTTCCTGTCCCCCAAACCTCCTCGTCATGTCGTCAGAAGTTTCTGTTTCTCGTGTTATCTTCGTGGCTTGTCTAATTTCGCTTCTTGAGTCACTCCACATTTCGTGGCGTCGAAAGGTAATTTGTGTCGTCGGAAAGTAATTCGTGTCGTAGCAGTCACTGCTTGTTGACCAGCGGTAAGCACGTTTTTAATCGTTATGTTGTGTATCGTCTCTTTCTGTGAAAATGTCCTTCAGCACACTGAGTTATCATTCAACTAACTTTAACTCTTTTTTTTAAGAATGCCATTTCTAATGTTACTTGAACGCTCGAAAGTGTACTGTTTCAGTAATGACCGTAACGAAATTGATTATGCTTTGTACTAGATGGATCATTTTCTAACGTTGGGTATTCAACGTTAAATCGTTTGGAAAGGCACTTATATTGCTTGCATTATGTATATTTGCCTTGAATACACTTGCCACTATCCTTGTTTTAAGATGGCTTTGACGACCATCCTCTCAGATCTAAATCAAACATGACACCTGCTCAACTCTGGACGTATGGCGTATTATTTGGACGAGGATGTACCTGATAGAGAAACTTTATCCTATTGAATTGATTTTCACGATCCTCCACCTTATGAAGAATATGTTAGGGAAACATGGAAAGAGGGGACGATTGAAGTTCCAGAAATACCATGACCCTTACCTAGAGAGTCTTTCAATCTTTTTAAATCACAAGTTAACCCACTTGATCGATCTGATTGTCATGGACTAGACCTTAACATCAAAGCTGTAGAGATTATTCATGGCTTGTTTTTTACAAAATCGAGTACAAGAATAGAATTTCTGCTCGCTGAAAAGAGTTTGAAATATAACAATTATTAAGCAAGAAAACAGAACAAATTTTGGAGATGAAATGAGTGAAACAACTAAATAAGCTATGCGTATACACTAGTATGATCAAAGGTGGAATGAGAACGTGAAATGGTAAAATTTGTCGGCAGTCTAGTATCACAACCTAGTCCTAAACTTAGAACTTTTGAACATTAGGATTAGGGTTAGGGCTAGGGTTAGAGGTAAAGGTAAAGTTAGGATGGCATACTCCACAAAAATTACGCCATTCCACCCGTCATGCCATTCCGCAAACTCATTCTTCCTTTTATCCTTACCTTGTGTAAACATTATTTTGATGTTCATCACAAATTCAAATTAACTGCAACAGAACTAAATAAAAGTAATAATGTAACTAGTTTCATTAATAGTTAACAGTTCTAGCATTCTCCACAATGCATGCTTGGCGGGGTCCAAAATCTATATGGCCTCTGAAACTGTTTTAATTTCAGCAATCAGGCCGATGAATATATATTTTTTTCATCATATATGGGGAGAGATATTATTGTGGTAGTCGTTGACTATCAATTTCATAACTTGAACAACACAGCAGTGATGTGTACCTCTCATTCACAAGTCAAGAACATGCAAAATTTGTAAAACAAGCGAGGCAGTTTTACAGCCTTCAATAACATAAATATTTTGTTTTGAATGCCTTCATCTGCTGTATCCAATGAAACAAAGCCTAGACAATACCAAAACCAAAACACTCCTTTAGCATTGAGATTCCAGCCTTGGTTATTGATTCAAGGGAGTTGATATGATGAGGCAAATGCAAATGCAAGTCACAAGTTGAAGCACTTGGCCGACATTTGCAGTTTTCTGGACATTCAAAAAACAAAAGAGAGCATGATGGGTGTTTGGAAGCCAAGGGCTGGTTTTTGCTGACAACCGGTAATTAATTTTAAGATATCCTCAACAGAAAGTTGGCATTCAGGAATTCCTGAATGTACAGTATGAAATCTACCTTGAGAAATTTTCTTTAATTGTGTTGCATATTACTGCAATTCAAAAAAGAGCTTAAGCTCAAGCCAGAAGTTGTCGTTAGAATCTATTAGTTGATTCACACAAATATTCAAAGAGGAAAGCAAAAAGAGTTGAATATACGGGCATTCGTACAGTGTAGTCAAAAACGCAGATAACTATATGCCTCTATCAAGAGGTCAAGAAAGTGATCAAACACAGTGCTTTCCAAACGGTTTAACATTGAATGCACAACGTTAGAAAATGATCCACCTGGTACAAAGCATAGTCAATTTCGATGCGCTCATTACCGAAACCGGTACACTTCCAACGTTCGCACAACATTAAAAGTGGTATTCTTTAATTAACGTTAGTTGAATGAGAACTCGGTGTGCTAAAGGACATTTTCCCAGTAAGAGGCGATACACAACATAACCATTAAAGACGTGCTTACCGCTGGTCACAGGCAATGACTGCTACGACACGAATTACGTTTCGACGCCCGCGATATGTGGAGTGACTTAAGAAGCGACGTCAGACACGCCACGAAGATAACACGTGAAACAGAAAATTCTTCCGACGACATGACGAGGGAGTTTGGAGGACAGGAAATGAGAACTATATAGCTCCACGAAGTATGAATCGACGACACGAACAAAGGATGCCAATTTTGTCCCCCATCTTACTCCATACTAGTAGACGAACTACCGACCCATAGAAAACTCTTTGGTGAGCAAGTTAAGTCCATTTATGACAACGTTCCGCATACTTTTAGGATCAGTCATGTTGAAAGTGCCGTGTGAAAGTAAATTTAAAAGAAAGATGGTAAATTTCCAGCTCTGCCGTCGATTAGAGAAAGTTTTTGGTTTTTGACAATTGGATGACCGAACTCAGAACTTACCGATTTTCTTGTTCTGAATGGCTCCATTTTTAAAATTGCATTACATCCATGTGTCAGATCATCCACCGTGACTTAGCGGCCAGAAATGTTCTTGTTGGGGAAGGAGAGAAATGTAAGGTGACAGACTTTGGAATGGCGAGGAATGTTAACCAGGATGATATCTACAACAAAACAAGTCGGGTAGGAAACTGAGTTACTCCCTTTTCTCTTTTAACTCGCCTCCATTTTAGAATAGTTTTTTTCGCTCTTACATCAATATCTGCTTAGGATATCGTACTTTGGAAGTTCACCAATTCTCCTCTGAATGAAGGAAGAAATCGATATGGATTTAATATTTCTGTTGTGTGATTTGAACAGGGCCGTCTGCCAGTAAAGTGGACCGCCTATGAGGGTTTAGTTTATGGAAAATACACAACGCAAAGTGATGTGTAAGTATTCCCTCCTTTAAGATACTCTAAACATAGCCATCTGGGTATGACTCAATTCCAGGTGCGGATTTTGGTCATTCTAATTTCTAAGAAGTCCTGTAATGCACGCAGATTGAAATATCTTTTTATTTTTACTTCCACTTTCATTTTGTCACAAAAATTTCGCTAAGGTGAAGTTAAGATTAGCACTTAGGTTTGACTTGAGCAAACGTTCACCACAAACGGGATCACAAAGATTTTATGCTGTATTCTGAAAAGAAATGAGCTCAAAATTACCGGTATCCCTTTAACCATCACAAGCATACCTCTTACTAGGTTAGTTCTCCTTCCTGTTTAGCTTCCCAGATAATGCGTTTTTTTGTCGTCATTTGAATCACCATGCTTTCTAAGAAATGATTATGGAGACTGTCTAGCGGCCTTAAAGGATGCTGGCAAATAAGATTGACGAAAATCAGTTGATGTTGAAACTCATGTCGTTTGAGAACTTATCTCAGCAGGGAGCTTGAATTTTTTGCGTAGTAAAAAAAGCTATACTTTGCAGGAACTCAAGTTGATAGCCAAGCTGGTTGCTCATTATTGAACCATGTTTAAACATTAATATATAAAGATTTAACCTCTTTCCTGTCTCGATTTATTCATATTTCTTTTTTAAGACTTCAGGCTACGTGCAAAATCCCATAATAGATCTTGGCCGATGATGTCGGGACCACTGATTAAAATAAAATCTGTTTTCTAGGCAGCGAGAAAGTTAAAATCGCGAATTATCATATTTTACTTGACTCAGAGTACTTCGCTGCCTCATGCATTTCATTTCTTTTTCCTTTTTTGTTATTTGCAGGTGGAGTTTCGGTGTTGTTCTGTACGAAATATTTACTGTAGGTACGTCTGAATCTAGCAAATATATAACAGTTTTATCGTTAAAAAAAAGGAACTATTTTGTATGGACTGGGGAAATGGGGATAGAATTGCCGCAGTTTTTAAGTACGTTTTTGACGAGGTTGATATAGTGAGGTTCGTGCTAAGACAATGAGTCCTGGAGTATCAAGAAAGTTAAGTATGTGAGTATTATTCTTGCCTCATTACTTTTGTTTAAGCGTTCATTTTATGTCCATAGGTGGATCTCCTTACCCCGCGATTACCGCTCGCGAAATTGCAAAGAAACTTCAGCAAGGATACAGAATGCCAAAACCTAAACATGTTGATGAACAGCTGTAAGTGTTCTGCTGCTGTTGTTTTTAATCCTTGTTACCACAGATAGCAAAGAGAGGTATAAGTGTTTGATGTCCTGTCATTAATTTATGACCATTCAGCTGAATCAATACGTTTTGGTATGACTCATGCCATTATCCGTACTGTTACAGTAAGTTAACCGGAAACGAGACATGCGCGCGCGCAAGTTTAACATTTGGAAGTTTTGGTATTTGATGGTTTGGTATTTAGGTTTGG